GAAGAATGTGCAAACAACAAAAGGCACCATCTTTATGATAAAAGGCTTACAAGGTAAATATAGACACGGAGGTCCTAGTGTACACACCGGTCTTCTTTTTCTCTTTTTGACCTACTCTTTCTTCCAATCACTATGCTCTCTGTCTTTCTTCTCCTTTCAGTGATCAAAGCTTTATTGTTATGGCCATAAGCTCCAAACTGTCATAGGTCACATCTGATGGGCAGGGAGCAGGGCAGAGAAGGAGACAAAGGAAGTAAGATCTGACAATGGGATGTTTGCACCGTTGGGAGGATAAGCAGGAGGGTTTATAAAAGGCAGCAAAGAGATCAGTAGCTGCTTTGGTGAATGGAAAGGAGAGTCACAGGCTGTGAATAAAGTGATAGGTTCTAAGTGCTGTACTTGTGTTCTTTATCCTTTTAACATAAGTAACCCAAATATAAGTGTGTTGTTATTAATTGCAGACCAGTCCCTAAGATAGTAGAGAGAATAAGCTCAAACAAAACAGAAGTGTCTTTCTCTGTCACCTAAAGTGCAGAGGTAAGTGGGCAGTGGAGGACAGGTTGGTAGCTCTGACAATGTTTCTTCTATCTTGGTATTTCATTCCTGGGGTGTGTGTCTGTCTGTGCTGTCAAAGCTGCTCACACCTTCCTTTCAGCTCATAGAAAGGACAAAAGGGAGAAGAGAGGACAAGCAACTTCCTTTGAACACTGTTACTTCTGCTCACACCTCATTGGCCAGAACCCAGTCATATGACCACAACTTCACTGTGATGGAGGTTGGGTGTTCTCTTCTCTAACTGAGTACCGATGTGTTTTTCCAAAACCATGATGGGGACAGGGCTTTGTTTGTTTGTTTGTTTTTAGGATTTTATTTATTTATTCATGAACATACAGAGAGAAGCAGAGACATAAGCAGAGACTTAGGCAGAGGGAGAAGTAGGCTCCCTCCCTCTGATGTGAGACTTGGTCCCAGGACCCTGAGATCATGACCTGGGTCAAATGCAGTTGCTCATCCACTGAGCCATTCAGGAGCCCCAGGGCACAGGGTTTTATTATTAAAAGAAAGAATGATATTGAAAAGTAACTGCTGGGAACAATTACAAAAAGCATGCTAAGGTAGTTACAAAGACTTTTAATGAATAATCTCATGAAAGTTTACATGTTCTGTATTAAAATAAAATGTCTATTTTATTGTGTTCTGAAATTCTAGTCATTACACTTACATTTAGGTTTGTTATCTATGATATACTGAGGTAAGTTTAATTTTTAGATGAAGTTGATTATGAGTAATGGGTTTGTTTGACCTCAGTCTAATGAAAAGAGTCTTTTCTACCTATATATACCAAAAATCTTACTGTTAATTCTTACAGTTACGATGAGGCTTTCTTCATTTTAGCTTTTACTTACATGTGTTCTAAAGCTTGCATGTTGTCCTAATAGTTCTAATTTTTATCGTCTGCTATTGATTTATAGCATAGCAAAGCATAAGTAACAATTTTTGATGTCTTCCAAAACACAATTTAAATAATGTTCTGAACTCAGGTCAGTGTAAGTATCTTCGGGTCATCCCTAAACTGGAGGCCCCCAGAAACCTGTGTTGATTCTTGGACTACTCTTGATCTCCTTTATTGTGTAACTGGAGAGCTGGTTTAATTTTATGGGTTAGTGTGCAATATGGATTCCTGTACAGTCACTTTTATAGGATTGATGCTCAACAAATAATGGTTGAATGATTGAATTGGGTGACTCAGAGGTCATCAGAAATTGTAAGACCTTTGGAACCAGAGTTAGGCCATGTTTTCCAGACAAAAATATTTAGTATTTTTTTGTTGTTTATTAATGTTAATAATAGCCTATGTAACATAAGTAAATAATGTTATCACTAAATATAGGAAAGAACTATAGAAAGAAATCTGATACATTACTAAAAGATTTCTCTTTCCTTTAAATAGCATAAAAGAAAAAAAATAGCATAAAAGATAAGAAGCAACTAACAGTGCCTGGCATAATAGCTTCTCAAAAAATAGTAGTAATAGTTAATTACCTTTTATGTTGTTCGTTAGGTGATAGAACAAAGATGTAATAAGCTTTCCACCAATAAGTAGGAAAACAAACCATAGCTTTCTGGCAGTGATTATTTTAGGAGGGATCAAATTCACAGCCACAATGTAAAGAAAAGAGTCCAGTTTGGAAATGCAAGAAGAACCAGTATGAGAAGTGTTCTTTTTATACAAACTTAGCATGTAAAAAGGCTCCAATAATTACAGAACATCTCCCCAGATTTTACTCTACTTGTGAAATACCTCAGGGAACTCAGCAAGTTTTTATAGAACCTTGGAGCTATGTGAGTTCAGAAGAACTGAATGGAGAATATTTTTGATTCAACTGTTTCTCTGGCACCTGTCCATATTGGGATATTCTGGAACCCAGGACAGGACACCAGAATGTTATAGAAGGGGCATATGGTATTCATCCCTGATTGATTAATATCAAAAATACTTTCCTAATTATTTGGCAATGTTATCCCATTTTTCCTCTTTCAAAAAAGAATTCTGTCCTTCATTTTTTTTTTCAGCCTGCTTCTCCTAAGTCATTTGGCATTAAGTCCATAGACTCAGTATTCCCTCTTTCTTTACTTCCCAAACTTTATTTAGACTGCCATTAATATTGGTAATTTCTTTGAGCTTTATGACATGATTCTTTTGGCACACTGAGGGCATCACTATTTAACTTTCTAGTTTCTTAACTTTAACAGAATTTACTTGCCGTAGATTTTTTTTCCTATCTTACCTAAAATTGACTAATGTTTCCCAAAAGGGTTCTGGATATTGGAATCAAATTTTGACATCTCAAAATGACTACTAGATATTAGAAAACTCTAGCAGTGGGATAGTTATTACATTAAAAAAATTTTTTTGATAACTGATAACCAAGGGGTTAATTTTCTTTAAAATCGATTTCATCTCTCAATCCTCAACAATAGAAATCGATGGCTCTTTCTTTATGAGATAGTTTGCTGCCCCACGTAGTGGAGGTTGTAGTTTTAAATTTTTTTGCATTAAAATGGAGTTTCTAAAAACATTTTTAAACTAAAACTTTTATGTCAGTTTTCCATAAAATGGAAATAAATTGCCATAACTTTAATTCATTTACTTAACAAGAGTGAGAGTGGTCAATTCTACTTTTCTGAAATGCTCAGGTCACAAATATGTTGAAATGCCAACATTTGTTAGTTTGAGTCGTGAGTACACAGGAATTGTGATATTATTCTTTGTGGTAGTTTGTGTTATTTTATACATTGTGTTTTTTCCCCAAATAAGATGAAATCTTTAGTTCTGCCTTAAATCTTCTGATTTTCTGAGAAAGTAGGAAGCTAGGTTCTATCCTGGTGAAATAGAGAATTTGTCCATTTTGTTAGGTTAGATGGTGGTGGCAGGTGACAAGGTTATATATTAGCATAGATGAGAAGGGAATGAAGGTGAATTCAATGTTAGATCAGTTAATGGGTGCAGAAACAAGCAATGAACTAGGGTAATCTAAGCAGAGTGCTTTCTGTTCATAAAAATTATTTAAAGATAATGGGTTGTCTGCCTAGAAAAGGTGTTAACTCTTTTCATATGACCCTCTCCAGCAAAATATAGCTTGCCGCCTAGATTTTAGTGGTTGTCTTTTTAATTGGCTGTTTCTATAAGTACATATTTGTCATATGCCTAGTCTATATTTTTCAAAGAGCACTTTAAGTAGAATTCAAATAACTAAAGGAACTTGAGTCTTCTTTAATGTTTTAGAGGCTTTCGATGCTGTTTTTTTGCAAATGTAAGTAAGGTGGAGCTCATTTTGGCTGGGAGGGGCGGTAACAAACTATTATTTCTCTTTAAACCCCTTCCCTCTCATGTATTTTCTAAGGTCTACTAATTAGAATGGTTAATTTTCCTTTTAAAAATGCACTTTTAACAGAAGACTCTGTTAGATGGCTCCAGGAGCCAGCAGCCCGCCGACTCATTCTGGGCCGAGGAAGGAGAGGGTCCAGGGCTGGGGCTGGGGCTGGGGCTGAGGCTGGGGCTGGGGCTGGGGCTGGGTGCCGGCTAGGAGGGACTTCCAGGGGGAAAGTAGCGGAGAGACTGCAGTGACACTGCCCTCCCCGGGCGGGTTGAAGCATCTCACTGGTGACGGGTCTGAAAGCACGTGGCTACGTCATGGAAAGCCAGTCTTTTCAATGCAAACTTCAACTCCTCCTCCTCCTCCCTCTAATGCCTGTAACTCACATCCGAGGCTGGGCGAGGAATCCGGAGGGGAGATTTTCCTCATGCTCACCGTTGTTGGAAACTGGGAGAGTGACAGGAAGGAGGAAGGGGATCTGTGGCGCTCTCTACCTACTACCAGCCTGACAAGGGGAGGGGGCACCTGGATTTGCATCTTTTCTTCGTGGTGATTGAGAACTGCAGGTTCAATCCGATCCCACTGAGCACTGGCGATTGATTATAAAAAAAAAAAATCGACACAGGGCGAAGGGAGGCTCTGTCTTCGGCTGTCAGACTCGATCTCGGAGGTGGTATTGGTGTGTGTGTGTGTGCTGGTGTTTTTTTTTTTTTCTTTTTTTTTCTTCTTTCTTTCTTTCTTTCCTTTTTTTTTTTTCTTCTCTCCTAGGGGCTACACAATGGCAGTCTTCTCTCAGTGAGATGAATCCTGCTTTGCCTTCTGCAGACCCACCCATCCTCATAGCGATCAAGTAAAAGGCTATGGTTTTCTCTTTGGGGATCTTTTGTGCATTACTGTTCTCTCTGATTAGTTCTGGTCTCTGTTGGGATTTCTTTGCTTTTTTGTTTGGCTTCATGCTGAAAAAGGATTTTTTTTCCAACCCTGTGGTAATAATCCAGTGGTGATCGAGGGGATAAATCATTCACCCTGGCCGAAAAAAAACAATCACTGAGAAGTCTCAAAGAAATATACCACGTGAGGGGAAAAAACTGGGAGAAGATCCGGAATATTATCGTTTTTCCTATGGTAAAACCGGTGCCCCTCTTCAGGAGAACTGATTTCAAATTATTATTATGCAACCACAAGGATCTCTTCTTTCTCAGGGTGTCTAAGCTGCTGGATTGCTTTTCGCCCAAATCAATGTGGTTTCTTTGGAACATTTTCAGCAAAGGAACGCATATGCTGCAGTGTCTTTGTGGCAAGAGTCTTAAGAAAAACAAGAACCCAACTGGTAAGCAAAACATGCATCATGTTATGTTTTTCCTCATAATAACCTGTCTGTTGCTCACTGAGCTAGATCTGCAGTTCTGCTATGCAGGAAGGCAGGGGAAACAGAAAAGGAACCAGGACAGTGTTGCATATAGAGGTGTTGGTGGATAAACAAGTAACAGCTGGATCGGCGTCTCTGAGCCCGAAAACCATGATCAGCATCTCTTGGCTGTGACACGATCCATCACTAGGAGGGAGGAGGAAACTTTTTTTTTTTTAATGTATTTGGTTGCCTATGTTTGGTGAAATATTGAAGGGCTGTGGCTTAAGGTTTTGCCCGAGGCAGCTGAAGCTTCGGTAGTTGCCAGGAGAAAGAGCCGCGAGCTCTCTTCACTTCTGCTGCAGGTTCAGGGACGTAGCTAGGTGCCGAGGACCTGCTCTAGACTTTCCGATTAGCTTGCACAATATTCGCCACCCCATCACCTTTACCAAAGTAGAAGAGGCCCTCTCCCTCGCGGCCCCGCTCCTCCGTCAGCCCCCGCCTCCCTCCCCCGTCTAGTTCTCGGTGCACGAGTATTAACTCATCCCCCGTCTGCCTCCGACACCTCCTGCCACTGGGAATACTTGAGCTGGGCTTATGCCCGGGGCAACCCCAGACGGAGAAGACAAGCGCAGTCCTTCTAATGTATGCAATTTGAAAGCCCCTTTTAAAAGGCAGTGTCAAGACCCTGCGCCCGAGTCCCACGGGTGGGACGAGCGGGGCGGTGGGTCCCAGCTTCAGGCTCCGGTGATCTTGCGTCCCTATTCCGTAAGCTCCAACCGGGAAACTTGCAGTGCATTACATAAGAAATGCAAATGCAGGTGATTCGGGGAGTCGAGTCCCGGGGGTTCACTTCCCGGTATCCCAAGCTGAGGCGTTTGCGGGCGGCCGCGAAGTTGTGGGCGAGCAACCGGGGGAGGCCAGGCCGGAGGGCTGCGTGGCAGCGGCGGCGCGCCGGCGAGGAGGCTGGGCGCAGCCAGTCTGCGAGCCGCGCGCGGGCAGCGGGGGTGTGCGGCGTCCCCGGGCTCAGTTCAGGCTGGGGAGGGCCCGGGGCCGGTGTTTGTGTCTGGGGCTGCGTTGGGGGGCGGGGGCGGGGCCCCGGGCGTCCCGCAGTGGCCGCCCGGGCGCCGGAGGCTCCTGACGTTGGCACTGCGGTGTAGTAGATCATGGCTCCCCGCGGCCGCCCTGACACCCCGAGCTCTGCCGGGGGCTGCGCTGGCGCCCGGAGCCCCGGCGGCCGGGCAGCAAGTGGCTGCTGCCTCCCAGCCTCGGAACCCAGCAAACGCAGCGTAGCTGGGCGGCAGGCTCCGAGGGGGCTGCCGTCTGCGGGTGCCCGGAGCGAGAGGGGGAGGACGAGGGAGGAGGTGGGAGTGGGAGGAGGAGGAGGAGGAGGAGGATGGGAGGTGGAGGGGGGGAGGTAGGCGGGGATGGAGGTGGTGGGTGTGGAGGCTGAGCACCCAGTGAGGCCCCCACTGCCGCAGGAGTAGGGAAACTGCGAGTTGTTAGACCGTCCAGAAGGGCAGGTGCTCGCTTGTGGGCGGAGGACGCCTGGGCAGTGGCCCCAGCCGGGACGTTTGGGTGGCAGTGGATGCTCTGGGGGAGGGCTCTGCTGCCCGCGGGCACGCTGCTGCAGTGGGCTCCGGGGCTCTGCCCGGGAATTCTCGTCACTGTGCGGTAGCTCTACCCCTCTCTCACCGCCCCCCTCCGTTCCCTCCTCCCCCTCCTCCCTCCCTGCTCCCCCTCCCCCTCCGTCTCCTGTCCTTTTACCCTTCTCTCTCTCAACTCCTCAGCGTTTAGCAACTCTGAACTAATACCACCACCCTGGGCATTGCCCAAGGAGAAAGCGGTGTTGTCACCTTACCACCCGCATTTCTTACTCAACTGTGGGGTGTACCCCCACCCCACATGAAGCCCCCCACTTGCTGATGTTTTACTGATACCTAGATCTGCAACACTACTATCTCACAAGTTAATGTGAAGACCCTTTTTGCAAGACTTACCAAAGTGGGACAAGCCAAGCGCTGCTGTCAGAAGGGAGGCTTGCTCCTCCATGCAGTAAAAATAGTGGGTTTTGAAGCCTTTTCGTGTGGAAAGATTTAGCTCCCTTCTGAGAAAGGAACAATGTAAAAGCATTTTTTTTCTTTTTCTTTTTTTTTTTTTTAGACTCGGCCATTTGTCTAGGGACCTTGAAGTTAGTCCCTCTATAGTACTGTAAAGTGGAAAAGAATTCTGCTCTGAACACTAAGTTTCCTTACTGGCCTTTATATATATATATATATAATATATATAATATATATATTATATATAATATATATTAAACAATTTTACTGGAAACACTAATCTCTCCCCCCCCCATACACGGTGCAAGATATTTTTATTACACCTCCCCCACCCCACCCACTTTCATCTCTCTGGAATAAAGTAGATATTTTTCCTTTCAAGGCATTTTGGAAGGTGTCAAATGACAAATTATTTTTAGAGAAATTTATTTTGCAGCTTATGAATGCTAAAGTACTTGGGTGTGAATTGATGGGTTAATTCAAACATCATGGTGATGACAACATCACCAACTATTCTAATGGGATAGTGTAGGCTTAGGTTGCCGGAAGTTAGAGTGCCAACCTGGGAATGGGAGCATTTGTAAATTATTTTAAAAATGTGACATTAATGTGTCATACTATCTCATCTTCTAAAAGTTTTGCTTCTTGAACACACATTAAATCCATGCTTAGCCATTCCCTTTCAGGATTGTAGTTGGTAGGTTCCATTCTCCTTCTGCTATTAACATGAAACCTAAAATTGTTTGCAGGTTTTTGATCCCAAGATAGCAGTATAACCAAGAAGTTAATTGGGTAATTAAAATAAAACAAAGACTAAAATCTTCTTAACTGTTAAAACCAGAAAGAACAGATTGACTACTACCCATTATGTTATCTTAAATCTAAAACAAGGACAATTAACTGGTTTCAAACGAAGAAGCTCCGCAGAATACCTCCAACCACCAGTACGAGGATCATGAATTTGGTGCGAAGACTTCTTAGATTAATAATTCTTCTCAATCTTTGCAAGCTATAGAATAAATCACTGATTATTCCCAATTTTTAAATTGTTGATAAGTACGGGTAGTTTGGTCAAGGCTCCTGGGAGGACTTTTGGAGCACTGCTATAGAGTTATGTTGGTGTGAAAATAAGTAGATAATAGAGTCATGAATTTAAGGACAAAGTTATTTATCTACCCAAAAGCTATTAGCATTTAAATGAGAGGTGTTAATTTCAAAGGTTTTTTTGGTAGTTGCTTTTATGTAAAATTTAACTAGAAAAGAACATGAAGAATATACTTGTACAATATATAGTAGGGCTTTTTAAAATAAATTACAATAGCTTAGAAGTATCCTGCATAAAAACTAAGTCTACCATCTTCATAGAAACGTCCAGTATCTCACAATATGACCATTAGCAGAAAACACACACACCAATGCTTAAACGTCCTACTTTCCCCTATTTTCCTAGTAGAGCAGTAACTGTATGTTTAGAATAAATATTACCTGCTTCAGCTTTCACTGTATGAGTCATGCAAGGTGATCGTATTTTAGGCAAATCGCTAAATAGGGAATACTAGATCCAAGTCTCTTATTTAGCCTGGAGGAGGGCCTGGTATGTTTCTTTAAACCAGCAATGATAGTGTAGACTGACCAACGTGTAGCAAAGGCCAGTGCGGTACCAATCTAGGTCACTAGACTTTGAGTGACAGCTGCTAAGAAATGTGGTTAGAAAAAACAATCCACGATAAAGGTAAACACTATGGTCATGTCATGGATATCTCTTTTTTTCTGTTGTTGTTGTTTTTAAAATCATGGATATCTCTTTAGACAGATAATGTACAACAAGGAAACTACAGAGCCTCAAATACACACACCCAGTGAACCACACTCATGGCACCTCCAAACTTCTTTGGATTGATAGGGTTTTGGAAAGCACAGAATTTAGGATAAGTCATAATCAAGGATAATTTTGGATACCAGGGACAGTGAGTGGAAGGAGGGTACGAAGCAGAAGTTCAGCAGGGCACATTTAGAAAATCCCACTAACTCACAGCCCAGAGGGTCTCTTTTTCCGAACTCAGTCTTTCTGCCGTATAACTTGGAGATGAAACAGGCAGGGCTTGGTAGAACTCATTGTCATTTTCTTTTTCCTCATTGATTTGGTGTCTTTCAGCTCTGCTTTTGCCTTTCACTAAAGCTGTTTTAGGTGCCAAAAACATCTGGTACGCCTGTTACTCATTTAAATATATGTTATTCTTTTAAAACTACTTGCTTTACATGTAGGGCTGTCATGGCATTTTAGAAGTGGGAAAATAGGGAGAGGCGGAAGAAAAATGAAAGTAAGCATGTTTTACTCCTTCCCCTTGTCAGCCTGCCGACTCATCCTGGTTTCCTCTAGAACTGGGTGAGCCACCCTGGGCCACAATCTCTGCATTTCTAAACACTGAGGTGTATCAAACGGAGGCATCAAATTCAGACTGCATGGCTGGAGCACCAAACAGGTGTGAGGTTCTCCTTCTGACATGCTTGCCTTTAGAGTGGGATTCCATGCAATCGGAGCTGCCCCTGGACTCCCTCCAAGAAGCTTTAGTTACTGAAGTAGCAAAATGAGTTTGCAGAGCAGGGGCACTTCATGAGCCGAAGGACTGCAATGTAGATAGGTTTCCGAGTATCAACTTGTTGGGAGAGTGGATTTTTCTTTTTTTTGAAATTATATCCGAGTTAACAAGTGTGAAATCCAATGCATGATAATCTCAATTTGGCTTTAACAATGAGGAAGACTTTGGCTGTACCCATATCCAGCCTATTCTCATCTTGGCATCTAAAATCGTGAATATTTGTTCAAATAACGCAATGCCTTCAGAAGGTACTAAAGGTAATGCTATACTATATTTAACATTTCCCACATGAAACCATTTCTTTAAAAATGCTCAAACCCAG